GCAGGTATGCAAGGCCCTGTGGAAGCGTAGTAACTACATGGGTCTGAGTTACACCATGTATAAACAGAGGGGTTCAGAAAAGAGAAGTGAATCCGCTTCTTGTGGAATGTGTGTTAAAAATGTAAGATGATCTTGGTAAGCCAGGTTTTTGATGTCTTAAGAGTATTATGTAAGCAAACGTTGAACATGACATAGTCCAAAACACTAGAACTTCCTCTCAGGTGCTACCTTATAAATCTTGCTGCTGTTACAGTGTTTGCTTTCAATAGCTTTAGAAAGCAAGGGATGGAATAATTTAGTTTGGAATGGAGTTAGATAAGGTTGCGCAGCCATGTCCTGACAAATGTTGAACATCTACCAGGGTGATTCCACAGCATTCATACAGTTACAGCATCAACCTATAGTCATTAGCTAGTGAGAGTGTTTCTGTAAGAGGATCTCTTTTGAAACGAATAAACAGGAAGGAAAGGAAAAGTATTTGACATTTGAAGGTGTTCAGCTTTTCATACTTGTTATGAAAAAATCAGAAACCACTGACAGAGAAATCTGTCTGATACTTGAAAAGTTCTTGTTTTGAACTAATAACTCTTTTTCTTATGGTAGTTAATATTTCCAGTGTGTGGAAAATGTTCTTGATTGTTGCTTTCTATTCTGTGTGGTATTTTGGGTCTGCCTGATTTTCCCACCCTCCCACTCCCAATGTTGTTTTTTTCATTCTGATTCTTTACTATGTTTTCAATAGACAAATGTTTGCAAGTTTGATGGGGAAGTCCTATGTATCCTGTAATAATGAGTGGCCAGTAATTCATGGATATGTTTTTGTACTGCAGACCAAAATCTACACCAACGGGGCAACCCAGTGCCAATGGAGTACAGTCAGAAGGTCTAGATTATGACAGATTGAAGCAGGTATGTATACAATACTTTGAATACAAAACTTGGGTATAAGGACTTGTAGCTGTCCAATACCAGTTTTTAACTGTTTTATTAACTAGTTCCAAACTTAAATAATGATTTAGTGGTCATTAGTCATTGTTTTTCCCCAGGCATGTTTCAGTATTCTTAGGAGCTGTAACTGTAGGATGGCAGCATAAAAAAAAAACATTAAAAACATAACCCCTTTACTTTCTCACAGATACTTGCTCCTGCTTTTGCGTTAGACAGTGCACACAAGATGGTGTTGATACTAAGGATGGAACTGGGAAACTGGCTTGCCTGGAATAACTTTCCTTGTCTTCTCCCTGCCCAAACAAACAAGCAAGCAAACAAACGAAAAAGCTCTTAGAGCTGTTCTAGCAGAACAAGTTTCACCATGTTTTAATATCAAAAGTGAGCACCCATGGTCCTGAGTTTGGTGGTGAAGGAGCATCCAGTGGTACCACCCTTTCTGTAGCTATCCTGGCTAAGAGCAGAGGAGAGCCTTGTGGGAAGGTGGTGGCAGCTGTGTGCTGTTAGATGAGGAAAAGGCATTATGGGATGCTTTGGAAATTGTTTGGTAACAGTTACCTGTAAGTGACAGGCCTTTGTCAAGTACACCTGCCAAACAGACAAACCTGTGCAACCAGAGGCTCGGCAAGGGATCTCTTGTGACTTGTATGAAGACAGGAGCTATCAGTCAAGAGATCCATAGACTGAGCAGACATTCCATGTGCCTAAGAACAAGAGCCCCCAGAGGACCAAGTTGAGTGTAAGGTATTTGTGTTCTTCTGACTACGGAGAAATCACCTGTTGCTGAGGAGGCCCAAAGATGACCATCTTTGCTGCTGATGATAGGTGCTTTCAGTGCAGATGTCCTTCTGAGAGCAGTTGTTGCCTGAGGCATTGGGCTGATGCTAACCCAAGCAGACTTGTGTAAGGTGTTTGGAGTTGTCCATGTGCGAGAATGCTACTGTGTATTTTTGCCCTGTTGTGGTTCACGGTGCATCTCGTAATCTTTTGGGTCTTTAGGAACTGCGAGGAAGCCCGATTCCCATGGCTGCGCAGCATTTCAGCATGGTGTCTGTGGTGTAGGTAGCAGTCTTGAAGAGCGGGGGGATGGGGGGAGCCGGCGTGCTGGCAGTTTTGAGAGATGCTTGGGCAAAAGCAATAGTGTGCTTTCTCAGTGCTGATCTGAGTTATGTTTGGGGTCTTGGTACTGGTTTTTGGTGACGTTTGTCCCTTCCGAACTGGTGACAGCTCCTTTTCTTGGGGAGCATGTAGAGATGATGCTAGTTACTTTTCTGGCAGAGACTACGAGCACACAGTCTATTGTGGATGGGATCTGCTTCTTTTCCAGACAAAGCTCTGCTGAAGTTGGATCCCTGTCCTTGACAAAAGTAACAGTGATGTGCTTGCTGTTGCTGGAGGCTCTATGTCCAGGGATCTGTAGAGTGGTGGGTGGGTTCCAGACTTGGCAGGTTCAGGGGATGACTGTTTGTAGATTGTGGTGTTGGCGGCAGTGGTTTTTAGAAGGGTGCGAGTTGGGCATTTTGATCAACAGGCTTGAGTGGAGAGGGAGGTTCTAGAGCGGATTCCTGCTTGGGTCGGTTCTAGATCATAATCTAGCTCAACGTTTGGGTCTAGATCGTGATCTAGCTCAGTGTTTGGTTCTAGATCATGTTTCTGGTTTTGATGTGTTCTAAAGCATGTTCTAGCTATGTGTTTGGTTCTAGATAGGGTTCCCGCTTTGGTTGTTTCTAGAGCAGGATTGGTTCTCAGTTGGATTCTAGAATGCTGAGTGGTTCTAGATGCCTGTGTTCTAGAATCTAGGGTTTAATTTAGGGGCTTTTCCAAGAGGATTTGTGGTACACTTACTACAGCTTCCATGAAATGCTGCTGCTGCTAGCAGTCTGGCTGCTTTTAAAATTTTATTTTATTTATTATTTCTTAAAAAAAAAATTTATTTCAAATTCTGTTGGGTTTTGTTTGTTTGTTTTTTTCCTGAGCTACTTTTTTTGTTTTCTAAGGATGGGATTCCTGTCATCCCATAAAGCACAGCTCTCCCAAGTTTCCAGTATGCTGACTTTCACTGCCTCTTTTAAGATCTTTTCTCTGGAGGCAAAATCATCTCACACTCTACTGAACATGTGGCAGGCTCTTACTTGCCACTTCCCTTCCCAGATGGCCCTTCCCAGATGGCCATGCTCCTTCTCCAAGGCTTCTTGCCACTTGTCCAAGAGTCTTGTCTAAGACTTGGCAAATTGGGAGACCTTCGTCTACAGGTTTAGTATGCACTTTTATGCCAGGAATGACTTAAGGCAGGGAAGATGTGTCCATACGCATGTCTTCCACCAACAGCTCATAAAGAATTCAACAAGCCTGCAGTCCACTAGAATAATTGCATGCTCAGTTGTGAACAGTAATGCCAGCCCCAAAGCTAAAAAAGAAACAGCTGAAATCTTCTGGATGAGTTTCCTGATGACTACAGATTTGGCCAGACAGTCTCCTCTGCATAAACAGACACTACCCCCGGCTCTGCTTGTAAAAACATTGTCACCAAATCATCAGTTAACATCACTTCGACAAAAGGATGGAGAAAACAACAAGCGGGAGATGACGCTTCACTCCGTCACCTTCATACGCTCGTCTTCCACTTGGTGACTGGGAATACCTTGATCTCCCTTTTTCTTCTTTTTTTTCTTTGAATACTTCCTTGGCTTGCAGTTTTTAGCTAGCTACTCTTTTGCATTTCACATCACATTTCATCTATAGCAAAGCTTTCTTAGTTTAAAAGAACATGCCAAGTATTTTTTTTTACTTTTTTTTATTTAGCAATTACATTGGTGTAATATTCTAACTTCAATATATCCCTTCTCCTCTTGTAATTCTACAGGAATCAATTTGTAGGACTCTTACAGAAGGTTTTTTCTTTATTGTACCTGTTTTAGGGATGCTTTAGGTTTTGAGATTAACTTGGAAGCTAGAGGGTGGGTTATGCATTTCAGGAGGGTTAACAGTTAATTAAAGATTGGAAGAATTTTGGATTTCTCTCTGCAGAAAATTACAAGTTGCAAAACTAATCTGTTCATGTTGCAAAACTAATCTATTACTTATGCTCTGACACCATAGGACATTTTAGATGAAATGAGGAAGGAGTTAACGAAATTAAAGGAAGAACTCATTGATGGTAAGTACCGATCTGTTTGCTGCTGCTCTTCAGTCTTAACGTAGCTACAGGTGCACAACAATGTAAATAAAATGTGTTTGCAGCCCGGGAATGATATATTGGTAGAAGTATCTTTGTTCTTAGACTGGTGGTATACTTTGATTTGTGCCAGACCAGTTCCGACAGATGTGCTTCAATGTTTTCTCTCCTGTGCGTTTTGTTTTTAATAGAATATCGACACCAAGTAGTGTCTTCTAAAAGTGGTTGGGGAGATGCCGTATTTGAGGGATTTGCAGTTATCCTTAGTATCATGTGGTGGTAGGTGGGTTATTTTTAAATAGTCCAGAGCTGCTGAGATGTGTATTTCAAAACTGGTAATATTCAGATTAGGATTGTGCTTCCAGCTTTCAATTTTCTCCTCTTTGGTCTGTAACATAAGAGTAAAAAAAAGACATCTCAAAATTTTCATTTTTATTTTCCTAAGTAGCCTTCTGTAGTTAAGGGAAATCATTGAGAAAACGTAATCTTAAAGGTCCACCAGTCAAGAAATAAATAAAACTCTGTATGACTTACTACCTTGGTGTGCATTTTTATTTGCTTTGTGAAAAGTACCAAAATAAAGTATGGAGGGGGAAAAAAAGGAGTCATATTAAACTGATACCACTGCTGGTAAAATATCAGATATCATCAACTGATGTTATAAAAAGAGCTGGCTGGTTTGGGGCTATGGAGAATGCAGTGCTTTTTCCAGGGAGGACCCTGAGGCTGCTCTTAAAACAAACAGACAAAAATTAAAATAAATGAGCCCACACATGCTCTTTGATAATCTCAGTGGTAGTGATTGTCATCTGATAAGGTCATAGACTTGCTGGAGATGCAGAACTTAAAAATAAGATGTTAACAAAACTTTTCCAGAATGAAAGAGGGTACTGCCTGGTTGAGAACGGCAGTTTTCTTTTATCTTATGTAAAGATCATTCATGTTATAAGACTGTGTTGGAGCAGACTGAGCCTTCTTTAAGGGGTCAGTTGTGTATTCTGGCTTTCTGCCTTTACTTTTGTCTATTAGATTTGTTAACTTCTCTCTCTCTTTTTCTCTAGCTATCAGGCAGGAACTCAGCAAGTCGAATACCGCATAGAAAGACTAGTACTAAGCCGATGTGACTCTTTAATTTGGTATAAAACTGACTACGTTTTGTGAGCTGTTAGAAGAAAACGGAGACAGACAGACACTTGGACGGAGGGAGAAACAACCTATTCTGAAAAGCTTCAGACACATCACTCTGGTGATATGCTATTCCCCTCCTAGTTTGCAGCTTTTTTCTGACCTTTACAGCAGGGTGGAAAAGACTCTTAAAGTTACTGTAATGATTATGCAGAAATTCCTACACCTATCAGACAAGATCACAGTGCTTTGAAGTCTACTCATGTCAAGATAAAATTGCACATGTTTCAGAATTTGTTGTTAAGACAAAAAACAGGGAAAAGCTTGGGAAGGCTCTTCAGAGAGGTTTTCTTTACTAATGAAGGAGTTAGCAAGTTATACTGTTGTACTTCAAATGTATCTCAGGTTTGTCTTCCTATCATATCTGATATTTCCATGAATAATTTAAAAGATCAGATGTGTAGAAGTTCAGTTCACAAAACATGGAACAATTAGAAACGCGCGCTTCTAAAGGGCAATATTTGTAAGTGAATGACCTAGACAGTGATGACATATCAAGATTTTGGAATTTTATGATAGGAAGCCTCTCTAGTTAGCCTTCATGCAATTTTATAGGAAAATAAAAAAAAGCAAATACAGTCCAGACTTTAAAGATGTAGATGCCTTCCTACATTGTTACGATGCTTTACCAAATCTAAGACTTCTTCATAACGCGAATCAGCAGTCAAATGTAAATCATTAGTATGTTGTAGATTTATGGTAGATTTTGGGGCTTTTTTTAGATTTATGCATGTGGACATTTTTGTAATGTAACACAACACAGCCAGCTTTTTAATTAAAAGAAAAATTGCATGTCACAGAGTAGCCTTTTCATTTGTAAGGCTTAATTTATGCCCAGAAAGATGGGGGATGAGGGAGGGGGAAGGTGACACATTTTTATTACTTTCTACACTTTTTCTTCATCTTACATGCATGTGTAATAATGAGGAAAATGTGACTTTTATCAGTAACCATGTTAATGGAACCAGGTACTTAATCCTTTTGTATCTTTTTTCAGTTTTCTATTTGAAATTCAGTAATACTTCCATAATGGTTCTGAAACTCCCATGTGAACCTAACTCATTTCTCAGTGAGAGAACAAACATGTAAGCATCTGCATTACTGAGGATGCTCCTGTGTAAGTGCGTTGTCTGTTACCTTTTTACCATGACCCTCTGCTTCACTCTTTTCTGAGACTCCTTTTTCGGTTGTTTATTGAAACAGGACAGCAGTTAGTTACCTTAGAATGGCGAAGCATCAGGTCACAGTAAATGTCCCCTCTCCTCCTAATTTATCTGCCACTCTCTTTCCAGAAAACTCAAAACCAACAAAAAAAACCCAGAGCTCTACACAGCTCAGACCCATTGGTTTCGGTCAACAGTTTGAGAATCGTTTTCAGGGGACATGATACCTTTCTGTTTCCTAGGGTTTTCAGATTTTATGCTCGTAAATTATTTTTTTTTTTTAATGTGGTACAGTTCAGTGGAATAGAAATTCTGTAAATTGGATCTGTAGTGCTTTGGATAAAGAATATGGATCAAAATCTGGCAATTTTTTTCTGAGCCGTAACAGTGCTATGTTTGCTTTGGGATCTGTGCTGATCCAAAATAAAAGATTACTTACAACTTTTGGAGAGATTAATGTTTCAGCTTAAAAGTATACGCAGCTCCATTCGTAGGACGAATGCTTTCGATAACATACTGTCTTAAGTACTGCACACCAAAGCAAAACAGCACGCACAGCTTTGGAAAGGCTTCAATGGGAAATTTTTTCTCCAATTCAAACATTTCCTGTTTCCATAGGTTCAAATTCTAAGAGAAGACTACAGTGGAAATATTGCCTAACTCCGTTTATTAATAATTTTTTAAAAACAAAACAAAAACATTTTTCTGCATGCATTTATTGAAGGCATTAAAAATCTATAGTAAGCTTGTCAAGTACTGTTTTTCTCAAAACAAGAGGAGGCATTTTCATCTTTGTTGATGTAACTTTTTGTTTGACACGGACTTTTTGAGCATTAGGGAAGTTTACCCTTGTCAGAAATCATGTTTGATTTGTTTCTAGGAGAGTTCAGGAGTAGCATAGTGGAATAGCATGAATGGGTACAAGTGGTCCAAAATTAAAGGCTGAACTACTAGATTGTGCAAGGAACTGGCTTATGCACTAAACGTTTTGTGCCTTGGTCTACAATTAACATGATTTCTGTTTAAAAGAAAAAGGAACAGATGTCGTCTTTTGTGCTGCTTCTACATACATACTTTCTGTAATCCCAAACTGCTGAATTGGTTCCTTCCAGAAAATCGGATTGAATTAAAGATTACTGTAGACGTTTCCTGTCCTACTGACAGTTGCACCATTTCCAGAGATTTCAGTATTGAAAATGAACTGCAGAAGCTAAGATTACTTTGCTTACTGGTAACTAAGTTCTTTAAAAAACACGTTGTGGTGGTTCTGTGCTTTTGTACAACGGATGTCTTAAGCTGAGGGCAGTTTAAGGGATCCTTTCTAATGCCAGGAAGGCGTTGCTTTCCTCAACACTGTGATCTGACCTGTGATAAACCTGCACTATAGACAAGTGGCTACCAAGTCAACTGCAAACCAACTGAATGTAAAAAATCTTAGTGCTGGTGCTGAAATCTCTTCAGATAGTCATAATGATTTCCAGTTCATTGTTTTAAAAAGTTATCGAGCATCAAGTGTCAATCAAAGACTGAAGATGATCACTAATGAATGTTGACTTTTCATGCATTTAGGTTTATCTTCTTTCTAGTTTCTCAGTTCATTCTCTGCTATTTTTATTATATTGTGTCATTTTAAATTTCTTACATGCTAACGTTTTGTTTGAGCGAATGAAATAAAATTGCAATATATACACATCGCCACCATTTATTTCTGGAACTTTGTAGAAGACTGTCTGAGGTTTACTACTCGAATTCCCAAAATTTTTTATGACTGTGATCATTCCTTACACCTTGATTCCACCCCTCCTTTCTGTTTCTCCATCAGAAGATTCAGTAGAGAAAAGTGAAGACTTACCTTACGAAGAATGTAATTGCAGGGACTACGTAACATTCATGAATGGTAATTGCTGTACATAAATTAAAATCCATTTTAAATGTATGATTTGATTTACATTCTCACACGGCTTACACATTGGTCTCTGTATCCATGGAGTATTTGGAAGGGAGGGAGAGGCAAAGACTAGGAGAAAAATAATTACAGTTAGTCTAACTTTTTATCTTGCTGCTTTTATGTTTGTGACTTACTTTCAATACTGGTAATAAAGAAAACCTACCATGCAAGATTAATACAGCGTTCCATACACTAAGGACACTTGCTCTATTTATCTTATGGCTGAGTATTGAGTGTAGATGTTTGAATGTCCTCGACTTAGCATCCTGAAAGGTGTACTCTACTGTTGCTTTTTTGTTCGGAGATATAATGGGATTATCCAGCTTTAGCAAACCATTGGTACCAGTGCCAAGTTTGGCACCAACCTTAATGTCTTATAAAGGGTTTTTAAAAATAAAGTTATTGCTAGATTCTAAAATGGTCTGCTGTTACTGGGCTAGTCTTTAAGCAGCAAGGATAAAAATTTCTGATGTAAATTTCTGATCAGTGTTACAAAATCTCTGTCGGTGTCGAGGTGTATGATACCTACGTTAAGTTGTGTATTACAAAAGTAGGAACGTGGTCTGTCGTTGATCAGATCGGTGATTATCGGCACTTTACATAGGCTCTTCTGAAAATGTTTTAAGTAGGCTCAGTTCCAGTGCTAAATACTACTTGCCAGCGTGTCTCTTATGCCTAATCATACAAAGCTTGCAAAATCAAGTGAAGATTCCCTCTGTTTTCAGTAGGTGAACAAGACTGGGCTGATGGGGAGCAAGGAAAACGTTTCCAAAACTGGCTTTGTTACCCAAGTCTAACAAGTCTCTGGGGGACTGTAAATCTTCCTGGCTCTGTAGGCTGTCACTGGTGGGGGAGTGGAGGTGGTGTTGACAGAGAGCAGGTGAAAAGGGAAGGAGTCAGTGATTTCAGTGGATGTGGGACCAGTGCAAAGTACTTGAAGAACAGGCTAAAGTTTACTTAAATCATTAGTCTTCATGGGTGATTTTTGGATATGGAAACACAGAGGATTATTTAATGCTCAGTTGCTTCCATCTAGGAGAGTCTTAATGAATGCCTGACAGGAGTTAATTATTTAATTCCTTGGAGACAGTCACTTAAGACTGTTGGAATTGATGTGTCGCATCAGGAAATCTATTCAAGTTGATTTGGGTTTGTAACCTGAATTTAAAAAAAAAAAAGGTGTTAAAAGAATTTGGCGTAATTGTGCAAGATATGGAAAAGGAGGTGTAGCTCTGGATGTTGGGAAAGCTGAGCAAAACCTTAAAGTCACAGCACTAGTGTCTGTGTGTTACCTGGTAGTCAGAGCCTTCGTTTGTTGCACAGAGTGTACTTCAGGTAGTTGGTCATCACAGTGATGCTGAAAGTCAAGGAGCTTTGTAAAATTACCTCCATTTTATAAATGGATCCTAGTTACACTCTCAGTCAATAAATACATTTTCTAATGTTTATTTTATGGAGCTTGGTGTCCTGAATCTTACTCAGAGTATTCTTTATCCCGTGTCCTACTTTGTTAAATGGCAAAGACGTGGAGCAGCTCCTGCAGATTTGCTGTATTGCTGCACTGGCTGTCACAGCTCTCAGCCACAGGCTGACAGTTTTCTCTGAGGTGCTCAGTTTTGCCATTGTTGTTCAGTTATGTGGACCACCTTCTCCTCCCTTCCCAGCCTGTCTTAGAGCTGTTACTGGTGTGACATTCTCACTTCCCTTTGTGACTGAAGGTCTCTTCTCAAGCACAGTAGAGTTGAAAGTGACCTTCCATCATCATCCTATGCTTACCATCTTAAATCTTCAGTGTAATTCTTTGTCACCAGCCAGCTGGAGCCACTGAAGTCCTTACCTGCTATCTGAACAACTTTCAACTCAGCAATAAAGTTACCTATGCGAACTAAGCTGTGAGTGTGCTGAACTAAATCCTGGTTTTCTTTACAGAGCCCCTAGGCGTTGGTCCACAAACTGCTGACACAGGCAGAGAAAAATGTAAACAGTAGCGAGGAAGTGGGTAAGAAGAGAAAGTGTAAGGCAGTTCTGGAAGTGTTCAGTGTAGACTGAGACCTGCAGGGAAGGAAGCAGCTAGAAGTGAGCAGGGCTGCAAGAGACCTGAGAACTCCCAAACAGGTTTCGGACCCAATCTGAATGCTGCTG